GAATCTGACTCTAGGGGGCGGTGCTCATCTCCATTTCTAAGCTGAAGAGCCAGCGCTGTCTGAAGACTTCTCCATGGTCATGTGGGCAGCATGACTGAATGCCAAGGTGCATGGAACACTTACCTTCCCACCGAAGCGGTCCCTATTTATCTACTTGTAGTTTCTTGCTTTCAGACTGCTAGGTTGGCAGGAGCTGGGGCCAGAGATGGGAGCTCACTCCATCACGCAGCACTAGGATCTCGAACTGCTGAGTACAGAATATAATTAATGGGTACACATATATAGTAACCACAGAACTGGATGCGTTTCAGCCCTGTGGGCCTTCTTCAGTGGTCTATATTGTACTAGCACACACATTAAAAAGTAAATATAAAATATCTTTTTCAAGCCAAGCAGGTTATATATGAGTCATTGAAAGGGTGAAGCTCTAAATAATACCTAAAAGTCATGCCTGCGTATACTGAAGAGCCTACCCTCATCAGAGATGGTAACTCATTTCTGGTTTACACATAAACACACACTGGAAATAGAGCAACAGTCAAGGTCAGGATGGTGGTTCATAGTTACCATCTTTGATATTTACTATTTTATATGTGTATTAGTACAATTTAGACTACTGAAGAAGGCCCTCGGGGCCAAAACACTTCTGATTCTTTGGTTATTATATATGTGTAACCATTACTGATATTCTGTAATTCCTGTATGGGCAGCTCCAATTTTTTTGCTGTGTATACTATTTTCAGTGCTTTTACTTGCATTTTATGTATGTTTTTAATCTTAAATCTTTGGTGCACTGTGCAATAAATATTTGTATATTATTTTATGTCTTTGCTACTCAACCTTTAAGGGGCATGATTTTTATCAGGATCGCGGTGGGGACAGTTTAAATCTCCCTCCCCAACCAGGAACAATTCCACAGAACTGTTGTTCTGGCTGTTGGATTAAATTTACAGACATTATGTGTGTTACCTGTACCTTTGTTCCCATCAAGAACATACCAGATTGAGGAAGGGTTAAACTTCTCTTGCGTTGTGGTCCCAATCCAAAGCACTCCTCTGTGCAATTGGTGCTGAGAGAGAGAGAGGCCAGTTCCAGCATCTTGTCTAGGTAGACCCTCGATCAGTTTCTGATGGGGTGGAGTGGGGCTGCTCAAAATCAGCAGGCAGCTTTACCATCTTTCCAAACGCTTTCTCTAGGGTGTATTTATTTGGGGGGGGAATTCTACCCCATTTGGCTCCTGTACACAGATTTCCTGTTCTAAGGAATGAAAGGCCATTTTCTTCAGCCAGATCTTGTGGGCTGCCTCCCACTTTATTTTTTTCCCCAAGCAGAAGCTAGAAGACAAAAGAAAATAATTAAAATGGGGGAGAAAAAGGGGAGAAAACAAGGAAGCCAGTGGATTGCCTTCAGTGGGCCTACTCACAGTGCTTGACTTCATAAATGTGTCTCGGCTTTACTGCCAGCAATAAAACTAAAGATTTATTCACCAGTGGAAGCAAACAATTTCAGGGATGAATGAAAGACATAATTATATCATTTAATGAGAGACGGAGCTATTGGCTTTCTGTGGTGAGTTAGTGGCAGTGGAATATTGGACGGTTTCTTATCTCAAGTCACAATGTTGCATTCATCTAGAATTATACAATTTCCGTCCACATTGACGTATTAGACAATTCTCCAAATGTTACTCATAGACCCCCCAGCCATTGTGTGTGCTCCCCGTTACATTTTTAGACTCTCCCCCCCTCCTAATGCCGCTCGAAAAATACTCATTTTGGAACCCTGTCACGTCAGGCTTCAAGGAACTCAAGTAGGTTGCCTTGAAAGAAAGTGGGATTTTAAAAAAAATCAGAGCAGTCACTAGGAAATGCAAAATGAGTACATAGTATTGAGTAGGAGTAGTAGTTTTGGGAGGGTAGTAGGGTTGCCAGCCTCCAAGTAGTAAGTTATACAAAAGACCAAACCTTGCACAAATAACGAAAAATATATATATTCAACATTCAGTGAGTATGATAATCTAAACCAGGAGTGTCGAACTCATTTGTTATGAGCGCCGGATCTGACATAAATGAGACCTTGTTGGGCCGGGCCATGTGTGTCATCAAATGGAATGCCAGGTAGCGGAGATATAAACTTTACAAAGGACACAAACACAAAGGTTTTTTTTTTACATAAAATAAAAACATGCTTAAAACATTAGCACTCTTGCAATATTTTGTTTATTGAACAGTGTTTGATAACTGACACCTCTAGTTCTAAATTATTGCATTAAAATGTCTGTGCAGTTGCAATCTTGAGTATGCTGTTCAGATGTTTATCTGTAAGCTGCAAACCTATGATGACGCAGCAGCAGAACTGGAAGAAGAAGCAGAAGACAATCAATTCCACTGTGGGCCTGATAGAAGCCCTCTGGGGGCCTCATCTGGCCCCCGGGCCGCATGGTTGACACCCCTGGTGTAAACCTATATAAATAGTGTACTTTTTCAAAACCTATATAAATAGTGTACTTTTTCAAAAATACAATATGATAGCCAGGAACTCAATAATACATGGTCCAAATACACAAACAATCCTATTAATCCGCCTTCAGAAACAGTCCCAAGTCAAATTCCTCAAACAGTGAAAAGTCCAAAATATAAATATTTATAATTCCCCTTTGAAAAACTCATCTCGCCACTTGCATATCCACTTAACGGCCCCGCCAGCTTCCAGCTGCTGAATCGCCTTGCTTCCTCAAAAGTGGAACACCAAAACCACCGTATTAAAAAGAAACGGCTGAGAAACTAGTCAATGTAAAGCAGGTGGTGGCTGGAGAAATCCTAGGATCACAACTCGTCTCCGGGTGACAGAGGTCAGTTCACCTGGAGCAGTTGGCCGCTTTGGGGGGTGGACTGTGTGGCATTATATTCCATTGGGGTCTCTCCCCTCCTCAAGCCCCGCCTTCCCCAGGCTCCACCCCCCCAAATATCCAGGAATTTCACAGTCCAGAGCTGTCAACTCTAGGTAGACTGCATCATGGCTGTGGAGGCAGCCTTTCTTCCCTCTTCCCAGGGCCCGATGCAAGGCCTGTATTCTCCAAGAAGATGACCAGAAGAAGAGGAGTTGGTTTTAATACCCTGCTTTTCTCTACCCTAAGTAAGGAGTCTCAAAGCAGTTTATAATCTCCTCTTCATAACAGCCACCCTGTGAGGCTGGTGGGGCTGAGAGAGTTCTGAGAGAACTGTGACTGGCCCAAGGTCACCCACCAGGCTTCAGGTGGAGAAGTGGGGGAATCAAACCTAGTTCTCCAGATTAGAGTCTGCCACTCTTAACCACTACACCACACCAGCTCTCCGCAGGCCAGGGATTTCATGCCGAAATCTTCTGACGAGATGTCATCCAGTGGCCTGAGGCGATTTCATTTTGTTTTGTTTCTTCAGACCATAAAACAGAACGGCCGTGTATAAATACATACAATTAAATGGTTGCCAAGAACTAGCAAGTTTGCTGTACTCATGGAAACAGCTCTCCTCGTGTGGTTGTACTCAGGTCCAATCCTGAGTACTTATTACAGGGCCGTAGGAGGAAACCCACCTGCATCTGGTATGTGTGGGTATTCTGTGTTTTGCTCCTGCGCAATGTGTGCACCCCCAGATAGATGAATCAGCACTGCCATCGTTCATCACATGTTGGAAGAGGGAATGTCTCCTTTCCCCTTCCCCAACAGCTGATCAGCTATTTCAGACCTGATGAGCTAAGTTCAGTGGGGAGAGAGGAGGCAAGAGATCTCCATGCATACCAGGAGGTTCACAGCCCACTCTTGCCCACGAAGCTCTCTGGTTCAGGACCCATATGTCTATCCTTCATTTTTTAAAACTTCATTCTAAGGTGCATTCTCATAGATCACAGTTATCAACCTGTTTCCATTATATGGCATAAATGGTAGGGGATGTTGCTCTGCGATCAAGTCTTGCTTCTCAAGCAAAAGGTCCCAGGTTGAATCTCTGGCAGGTGCTGGAAAAGACGTTGCTGTATCTGAAACCCTAAAGAGCTGCTGTAACTCCAACAAAGAGTACAGAACAGAGTGGACATAATGGCCTAATGTGGTATAACGAATATGTTCAACATCAGTTAGATATAGAGTTGTCAGCTGGGATATTCCTGGAGGTTTGGGGGGGGGGGGCCTGTGGAGGGCAGAGTTTGGGGAGGGGAGGGAGCTCAGCAAAGATGTGATGTCACATAGTCTACCCTCCAAAGTTGCCATTTCTTCCTGGGGAACTGATCTCTGTAGTCTACAGAGCAATTGCTATTCTAGGAGAACTCAAGGTGATGTTCCCAACACTGCCTAGGCAAATGCTGGGAGATTTTGGTGGCAGTGCCTGGGGAGCATGGCACTGGGGAGGATGTGTTGTCACACCCAGGGGATGCTGGAGGGATTTCCCCTGAGTGTTGTGGTAAAGACCATAGAGACTATGGGGAATTCCTAGAGTGTCATTGTTGAGACCATTTTTTCTCCTGCTCCTCAGTTTCCCGAGGCCAGGAGATTGAGGCTGGGGATAGGGAATTCTCTGCTGGACCTGGGTATTTGTGAAGGCTAACTCCAGGCCACAGTTGGGGATTGGTAACTCAAGTTAAATGCACACTCTTATGTTTGGATCTACCTGTAGGTTATGTGTGTGAAATGTCTACCAATAGCTAGGGTTTGTACAACCTAGTTTTCTCCAAAGCTTGCTGGTATTTCAGCCTTTACATACCATAACCTTTATACACCATTTATACTCTGTTTATTTGTTTGTGTGTTTATTTAGGATCCAACCAACTTGGACAAATTTAACGTCTCCAGCTTTTTCCATGTTAAGAACAATTTGAAGGTGACAGATCCAGGTAAGAAGGATGCCAGGAGTACAGAAGATATCTGAAGCAAAACATAGCCAGCTAATGGAAAGCACATTAAACACATGTCAGCAGTAGCATATAAACCTTCATCATGGCCAATTAAAAAGTCACAAAGTAGTGAGTGAGCTTTGGGGGCCACCAGAATGCATCTTCAGGCTGGAAATCAAACAAAGAGGGAGAGAAGGGGGGGGAGAGATGTTGCTGGGTATGATGAAAAGCCCAAAGTCTGCAATTCATAAATTGAAGATAGACTGGATAAGAGATTATGCGGACAATTAAGATAGACCATGGACCAGCCTTATTACGCCTGCAGGCAGGATTGAAAATCTGAGAAAAGTTAGCGCCACCACAAAATGGCCGCTTTGCAGGCCTTGCCAATCTTAAAATGGCTGCCAGGGGGTGTCAGGCCAAAAACAGAATGGTGGGAGGATCCAAGCCAAGTGTCATCCTGTGACAGAGGCAGCTGCTTCCAAGTAGATTCTTACGGCAGATGAAAAGGCAATCATTCCCGGTCTCTTCTGAAGTCTTATCTTGCACTAGGATTGCCAGCCTCCAAGTGGAGCCTGGAGATCTCCCGTAATTACAGTTGATCTCCAGATGACAGAGATCAGTTCCCCTCAAAAAAATGGCTGCTTTGGAGGGTGGACTTCTTGGGATTATACCCACTGAGTGCCCTCCCTTCCCCAAAGCCGTCACTCCCCAGGCGCCACCTCTAAATCTTCAGGAATTTCCCAACACAGGGTTGGCAAACCTGTCCTTCACCGATGAGTCGGAGGAAAGCTGGGAGCTTTGGAAAAGAGAGACTGTTTGGTTTCAGTTTCCACGAAGGGAGGATTTGCATCCTACTTGGCCACTGGGAAGGATTACCAAACCTAGACACCTCAGCAAGCCTGTGTCTGTGGCCTTGCTGAGGGCGTGTGGTTGTGGCAAGTCTTCCTAGGATGGGCTCCGTGCTTTGCTAATCAGTCAGCTGTCAAAGACCAACCAGAAACTCCCTACATTTCGCGATTCCTTTCAAGACCCTTTGGATTTCAACCCCCTTGGAAAAAGGTTAATGTGTGGGGCAGCACTGGCCTGTTCAGAATCTACTTCACCCTCCTTTTTTTCCCTGCTGTTGACGCTATTTCTTTGGGGTGGGGGGGAGTAGCATAGATGTGGTGTTTTCGTTGAAACACGATTGGTCAGGTGGGGAACAAAATCGCCCGGCTGTTGAGAGGCCCGTTCTCAGAACCACGGCAATTATTGCAATGTTGTTTTGTAGATGAAGAAAAAGCAAAATCAGATCCATCCTATTACCTGAAAAACACCAATGTTGAGACTCGAGAGACTTTGTCGGAGCTTTACAAAGAATTCAAAGGCGACGATGTTCTGGCAGCAACCATGAAGGCTCCTGAGAAGAAAAAGGTGGATAAGCTGAATGCGGTAAGTTGACCTGGCTGATTCTTTTAACAGCCAGCTTTAAATGGGTATTGAGGAAGGCCAAAAGGCTGTTCTGGATAGAAGAGAGATGCTGAATGGCCCATCAGCAGGGAATCAGTCCAGCTAATCAGGAGCAACTTCACTGTTCCCCTATAGGTTTTGATTGGCGAGGCCTTGACCTGAGTGCTTGTCAATGGCTGTGCTATCAGAGGCTCTTTTATAAGGGGGGGGGGTTAAGACAGCTGTTGAGGTTTTTTATGAGTTGGTTTTTACATCTTGCTTTTCTCTATCTTAAGGAGTCTGAAAGTGGCTTACAATTGCCTTCCCTTCCTCTCCCCGTAACAGGCACCTTGCGAGGGTAGGTGGGGCTGAGGCAGCTCGGAGAGAACTATGACTGGCCCAGGCTTCATGTGGAGGAGGAGTGGGGGAATCAAACCCGGTTCTCCAGATTAGAGTCCTCTGCTCTTAACCAGGACACCACGCTTGCTTCCCCTACCTTCAGATCTGTTCCTCACAAAAGCAGGTTAATAATGAAGCCGATGCTGTATCCTGCCTTATGGCCGATGGGGGTAAATTCAGGGCCGAAGTCAAGGATCGGCATGGTGAGACATCTGCCAAGGCCATTTGATGTCCACAGGAGCTTCTGAGAGAGGGCTTTTATCCTAGCTGGCACTGGCAGGGCGTAAAAGAGCATGGAAGAGTCATGTTGCAGTCGTTCTCCCGAAAAGATGTATATGCATGTACACAAAGGGCCTGTATACTAAATTGCTGGTGGGAGGGAGCAACTAGAGGGCCCAAGGCCCCCCCTCCAAACCTGGATCTGACCCTTGTGTAATTTCAGAATGAGTATTATGAGTACAGGCATATGTTGGCCTCACTATGAGTTTGAATGGTTTTGCTATACAGTGGGGGGGTCTCTAGAATTAAAAGGTGGTGGTTTTAGGTTTTCATGTTACTAGTGAAAGTTGCAAAAAAAAAACCTACAGTGAGGAAGAAATGTGGGTAAATGCTGTGTTTATGCTTTTTTCCACTCTGGTGTTGTCCTGTTGCTTTTATTACCTAGTCTGTGTTTTTTATAGCTTTTGACTTCTTTAGTGTGTGCTGTGTTTTAATGCCCCTTAAAGAAAATTAAAGAAAATTGAGCTGCGGTGGCTCAAGTGGTTAAGACGCTGAACTGCAGGCTGTGGAAGGTCAGTAGTTCAGCAGTTCAAGACCCGGGTGCCGCATGACGGAGTGAGCTCCCGTCTCTAGTTTCAGCTCCTGCCAACCTAGCAGTTCGAAAGCAAGAAATTGCAAGTAGACAAATAGGTACCACTTCGGTGGGAAGGTAACAGCGTTCCGTGCGCCTTGGTGTTTAGTCATGCCGGTCACATGACCACGGAAACGTCTTCGGACAGCGCTGGCTCTTCGGCTTTGAAACGGAGATGAGCACCGCAACCCTAGAGTCGGATTTGACTGGCTTTCGAGCAAGGGAGACCTTTACCTTTAAAGAAAATACAAGCACACATTGCAATACTTACCAGCAACACATTTCTCCATTACATATTTAAAATATGTATAACCCTTCAATTCCATGTTAGAACATGTTCAAGGAGGATTACAGCATAATTTGAAAACACTGCAAAAATTAAAATGAAGATAGTAAATTGGCAAAAGGAAAACCACGTTTTTAAAAACGGAGCTGTCCTGGCAGATGTGATTGTTTTCGGAGGCCGTGCTCCTTCTTCTGAAAAGAAGTTGGCAGTTTCCAGGGACAAGGCCTTCCTGTTTGCCCCCCCCCCCCCCGCTTCCCCAGCTTGGAATGCATTCCCACAGTCATTTGCCTGGTGTTGAACGTATTGGTGCCAGGTAAAACATGCTCATTTTCCCAGACATTCCGTTGAGTGGCTGTCGCTTTGTGTAAGAGTCAATGTGTGTGGCAGTACTTTAAATATACTTTTGTTGTTCAACAGGCTCATTACTCCACAGGCAGAGTGAGTGCCTCCTTCACGTCCACGGCTATGGCGCCAGAAACAATGCACGAAGCAGGTACTGTCAGTTCTTCTACCTGCCAACTTTTTCTTTTTCTTTTTTTTTAAATGAACTGTGCTCCAGGATTGCATTTCAGGAAAGGTGCCTTTGCAGTTGCTTTACCAGCTCAACTTCTGTGTGCTTTTGGAAACAATCACAGACAAGTGAAAGACAAATCAGGGGGAAACTAAATATAAATAGACTAAAAAAATAAATAGACCTTTTAAAAAGGGGATGAGGTGGAAAAGGAAAGAAGTAGGAGAAAAATGGTGGTTGCCGCAGAACACCCTGCTGACCTGTGAACATTGTTCTGCTTTGCTTCCTCTAAGAGGTCGAGATGCTTAGTGGCCATGCCAGGTCTCTGCCCAGTGGTGCCCTACTCTCCCAAGCCCACCTGACTCCGGGAACGTTGATCATTTCTCTCTTGGTATTTACGCTCCCACCAACTGGTTGATTAGAGTATTTCCCACAAAGAGGGCTGGCAGTCCAAGTAGGGCTGTGCAAAAAATAAATTGGTACTTTTTTGGGGTTCAGATATATTGACCCCCAAAAAATCAGTATTTTCCGATATTCCTGAATCCTAATATCAGTACGGCATTGGAATTCGGGGATTTTTTGGAAAACCCCAAAATTTTCAGCTCCATTATACCATTGGTCCCCATAGGGTATAATGGAGAATCAATCTAGGGATATCTGGGGCTCGGGTGGGGCTGTTTTTTGAGGTAGAGGTACCAAATTTGCAGCATAGCACCTGATGCCTCTTCCCACAAAGAGGGCTGGCAGTCCAAGTAGGGCTGTGCAAAAAATAAATTGGTACTTTTGGGGGGTTCAGGTATATTGACCCCGAAAAATATCAGTAGTTTCCAATATTCCTGGCATTGGAATTCGGGGATTTTTTGGAAAATCCAAAAATTTTCAGCTCCATTATACCATTGGTCCCCATAGGGTATAATGGAGAATCAATCCAGGGATATCTGGGGCTCGGGTGGGGCTGTTTTTTGAGGTAGAGGTACCAAATTTGCAGCATAGCACCTGATGCCTCTTCTCAACCCCCCCCCCCAAGTTTTAAAATAATTGAGCTGGGGGTCCAATTCTATGCCCCCCCAGGTGCTCCCATCATCTATTGCTTTCAATGAGACTGCAGTCTCTTTAAATGCCGTTTCCAGTCCGTGACTCACCAAGTCGCGCCGCTGCAGTGGGGCTTAGAGGAGAAGGCATTTTTAAAAACCCCGATCTCTTTAAATGCCTATGGCCTTTTCCAAGCACGGCGATGGCTTGATCAACCCTTCCAAGAGTTAGGTGGGCTTGGAAGAGCAGTACACCATTGTCCACTAAGGCATATGCCTTTTGAGTTCACTTGCCAAGTCGTGTTGCAGTGGTGGCAGTGGGGCTTGGAGGAGAACGCATTTAAAGAGACCACCTCACTTGTGTGCTCCCAGGGATCTAGGAGTCTGTTGACCAACCACCTCTCTTCCCCTGCCATCCTTTTAGTAACATTAGTAATGTGTTAGAGTAGGGTTTATTGTGGCTATAAAGGACAAACTGCAAGGATCCAAAATAAGAAGAAATTTATTAAAAAGAAAATAACCACATACATACTCTGCATAGCAATGGATCAAGCAAAATTACAAAGGAAAGGTACCAATTTATTAAAAAGAAAATAACCACATACAATACTCTGCATAGCAATGGATCAAGCAAGATTACAAAGTAAAGGTACATAAATGAAATGCTTTGTCCTCTGACTAAACATACCCTGACTGTTGTTATTCTAGGATAGTCTCTTTACTGTTCAAGTTACTGTATACTATCAGTCTGCAGTTGTATCTGTCTCCTCTTTGTTAGCTCCACATGGTAATGGCAGGCATCAGAATGAAGCCTAGGTGTGTGAACTTTTTCCTCCAAGTTATCCCCAAATGAAAACAACCCAAATGAATCCTGTTCCTCTTGTGTCCAGGGAATTTAACTCCTCTGTTTGCCCACTGCCCTGTGGATCAGTCCTTCTCTTCCTGTCATTTTCAAGAAGAGATACAATCTAGCATTTGGCATCCCCAAGTCTCTGTCTCCTCCCAGGTGCCACATTCCTGCCAAAGTGTGGCCCTTTGATTCTGTTCTCTGCATAATCAGTACCGGATGCTTGTGAGAGCCACCAACGGGATGGGGTTGCTTGAGAACAACAAACCCTTCTCCTGTTTCCAGATTTGGGATCGTCTTGGGATAAATGTGAGGGTTTCATAGCCCCCATGTTCTCTATAGTACTATGTAGCCCAAAGTGGAGTACATTTCCCCCAAATTCGTGGCGGGGAATTCTCCCACCTTGGAATTCTTCAAGACTTGAAGAATTGACTGGTATCAGCAAATTTTAATCAGTTCCAAAATATTCATTGAAGGAGGACCAATTCATTTCCCAATGTTTCAAACTTATCTTTTTCTTTCTTTTGTTTGCGTAAACCGATAAGTCAGCTAGTTATGATAGCTATTCATGAATTGACAGCACACGCTGTGATTTCCATTTTGCAAGTGCCGGTTGCTTGGCAACAAAAGAGCTTGAGAGAGAACCGCCAGCTGCCCCTCCGCAAGGGCCCATATCACAGGGATGCATCCTAGCACCAAGTGTTAGAATGTGGAGGTGTTAAGTAGGACCTAAAACAAGATGAACTGATCTTCCCCAGAAGGGCAGTTGCCTTAGACTGCCAAATCCTTTGTGCTAGGTGAGCACTCTTTCAACATTCAGAAGACTGGGTTGTTGCCTCCCCACCCTACCCAGGTGCACAGGTGTTACAGGTTAGTTATTGTGGATGTGAGAAAGACGTCTGTGTCAAAACAGGTGATCTCACCACTGAGTGGGTTCAGGGGTCCAGTTCTGCAAGAACAATCATGAAGTAAGCTTCTGCTTTTCCCCTCCCTGCTCCGTTTCCATTTCATTGCCTGGCCCAACAGGCTGGTAAGTGTGCTACGCTGGCCCAGTGCATGCTGGGAGGGAAAAAGTGTCTTTTCTTCCTACCCATCCAGTAAACCAAGCCCACCTCTGACACCTGGAGGTGTCCGAGCAGTGATGTCATGTGCGGACAGGGCAAAACCTAACACACACAAGGCTTCATAGGCACAGTTGAACTCTTATATATAATCTGGGATTTCAGCCATGCTTCCAAAACCTGTTCATGTTGGAGAGGGCCATGGTGGATGTTACGCTGGCACGAGGATGCCCTCCGGATTTGGTGGAGGACCAGTGTGCTGAGTGGGTAAGGAGATGAGGCATACATCCCCTACTCCACAGCCCAAGTTTGGCCAGCCTGAAGGTGTCCAGTAGAAGTTAACTACCCATGGGGATGGATCTTGTGATGAGGAGACGATCACCACTTCACTGCTTTGAACGGTCAAGTGATTACTGCAGGTGCTGCTGGGGCTGACTGGGAGGGAGAAAAAGGCCTGGGAAGAGGACCCCACGTCTGGCCCCAAACCCGCCAGCTCCATGCTGGGCTGAGTGCCTCCTTCCTTGCCCAGCACTGGCTGGGCTTAGGGTTGCCAGCCCCCCCCAGCCATGGATGGGGGGTAGGGTTGCCAACTCCAGGTCTGGGAATGCCTTGAGATTTGGGGATGGAGCCTGGGGAGGACAGGGACCTCAGTGGGGTACAATGCCATAGAGCCCACCCTACGAAGCACCCATTTTCTCCAGGGGAACTGATCTATGTAGTCTGGAGATGAGCTGTAATTCTGGCGGATCCCCAGGGCCCACCTGGAGGCTGGCACCCCTAGCTGGGCTGGGCACTTAGTTCCCAGCATAGGTCTCAGGCCAGTGGCTCATGTTGGCAGGAGCTGCTGCCTGCCCCATACAGGGTGAGTGTAGAAACCACAGAGAGATCACGGGTAGGTTGCAAACAGTGAAGAAAGCAGCCGTGATGTATAATGAAAAAATATATTTTTAGACTGCTGTGTTGCAGTGAGTAGTATTTCATCAACAAGTAGTCAAGATGTATGCATCCACACAACGGAATTTACATATACTCCCGTTTCACATGACCGCTTTATCTAAGTGTGCTGCGTGAATAACATTAGTTTACACGTCAACAATTGTAATCCGTGAACTTGACACAAAACTTTCTTCCCTCTGCAGTGAAACAAAATCTTTACGTTGTGTGAATGCGTACATCTTGACTATTTGTTGATGAACCATACAGGGTGAGGGCTGCCCCTCGCATGGGACTGGGGTGGCCTTCCCAGGCGATCAGCCCAACAGGACTTCTCCCAGCGGCCAGTGAGCCCCTGGCAGCTCTGCTGTGATAATGGTAGATGCTGAACTGTTAAGTCATTTGCATGCCTTCTTCCACTCTCTAAGCCATCTTGAAAGCTTTCCTTTGTAGAAAAGTTTCTAACGAAATAAATGTGTGAATGGTTTTGGTGCTTTGTGCCGCTATGTAAATTATTGGCCAAAGAGAGATGGGGGGGGGGGCAGCTTGAGCATTTCATCTGGCATGGGAGCTCAGTGCTGGTCTTGGTCCTTGGTGCACCTCCCCTTCACTGGAGGCCTTCCGCTGTTCCCAGAACATGGCGGGCTGACACTCCGGCGTGAACACGTGAACCTGCCTTCTACTGAATCAGACCCTTGGTCCATCAAAGTCAGTATTGTCTACTCCGACTGGCAGCGGCTCTCTGGGGATTCTCAGGCAGAGGTCGTTCACATCACATACTGCCGGAACTTTTAACTGGAGATGCCGGGGACTGAACCTGGGACCTGCTGCATGCTGAGCAGATGCTCTACCGCTGAGCCACAGCCCCTCTCTTAATTCACCGTTACACCATGCTTCAAAGAAGAACCTGTACACTGTGTGGGGTTGCCAACTGCCTGGAGAACAAATGCCCTGTCTTTTTAGCAGCAGCATAAATTGGATGTTGTTTACCAGGGGATGTGATGTCATCTATGCCAAGAAGAGCTTCAGCTGCCCATCTTCAGGCAGTAGGCCGCTATTAAAGGGACAGAGCATTTTTCTCCAGACCTCTCCTCAATCCTTATAGGGCTGAACCTTCTCCCCTCCCGCCTCCAGCAAGCTACCCATTTTGTAAAAAACCAGGCCATTGCACAATATACAAATGAGTATAAATGCTTCAGAGGTAGCCGAGGGATGTAAAAACAACAACACAAACAGAAATTTTCTTTTAAACGCGTTGTTGATCCTGCCGCTTAATAGGCATCGCACACTGTGACTTTGTTTGAAGCTAATTCCCATAATTACTGGGAAATTATTATGATTAGCATTACATTTTACCTGACCCTTCAAAACCCAGACTTGGGTCTGGTTAAGAATCGCATTCCGGATAAAAGCTGGATAAAAGCAGCAGAGCAGATGAATGCAGAATTAATCATCTGAAGACTTGTAAATCACCATATGTGGAGGTGAGGTCTCTGGGAGAATTTGTCATCTCCACAGTTCATGTTCACCGACAGCCGGCACGGATTAAGCGAATGCATTTGCTAACTCGCCCTTTGCTTTTGCGGGCAGCTGCCATCGAGGACGACGTGGTGCGGTACCAGTACGTCAAGAAGAAAGGCTACGTCCGCCTGCACACCAACAAAGGGGACCTCAACCTGGAGCTGCACTGTGACATGGTAGGGTGCGGCCAGGGAGGCTGACCTCTCAGAGGCGCCTCTGTCTCCGTTTGCCTTAATTATAAACCGCCTTTCAGCCATAGCAGCTGCCAAAGAGATTCGTAGTAAAACCAAACTGGGCCACTTCACAATCAGAGTCGTAGAGTCTGTGCATTACGGTCACAAAGGGAGGACCTAGTGTAGGTGGGTGTAATAATTCCCAAGCACCAAAACAGTTCAAAACTTTATTGGAACATAAGAAGGGCCTGGTCTGGGCCATAACCAGCCACAGCCAGCAACCAACGGACCAAGACCGATTTCCCACAAGCCACTGCCCCGCCCTCGCTCTTCCCTTTCCCCTGATTGTATGCGTCAATTTCCCACCATTTGCTGCTCAGCCGCATTTTGGCCTGCAGCTTCAGCCAATTTCTCCCGTGTCTTCTGGATCCTCAAAAAACAGGATCAGCTTCCAGGGGGGGCGGTACATCCTCTGATCCTCACCCTAACTACAGTAGAATTGCATTGTTCACCGAGACCTTGCACAAATCAGTACAATTGGTTCTGGTTAGCTAATGTAGTGCAGCGTAAACTGTTGGACTTCACGCGAAGAAACCCAGGTTCAAATCCTGGCTTGGCCTCAAAGCTCAGTAAATGGCCTTGGAAGCCAGCTGCTTCCTCTCAGGATAGCCTAATTTATAGGTCATTATGACGTTAAGTGCTGCTTTTTTGTGTATTCTGCGTGTGTGTGTGTGCTTGCGAGCCTGGAAGTCATGGTGACTTCTGGCGACCCCTTGTAGGGCTTGGACGTTTCAGAGAGGTGGCTTGGTATTATCTGCCTCTGCATCCCGGCCCTGGTATTCCTTGGAGGCCTCCTCCAGGGTCGCCCCTGCTTAGCTTCCGAGATCTGACGAGATCGGGCTTGCCTGGGCTATCCAGGTCAGGGCAAGTGCTGCTTTTTTACTGTTTTTCTGTCGCTTTAAACTACTATACAGTTTTCATTGTATTTATAATATGTTTGGGTATCTGATTTCTTGTAAACTGATTTCTTAAAAATGTTTTTGTTGAAAAATGACCTAGAAACATTGTAAACTAAATTGAGCATTTGGCCATGTCTGTGGCTGGCTTTTCACCCCTGCAGTTGCATAAGGCTGTTTTAGTAAGACCGGGGGGGGGGCAGTTTCTCCAGCAGCGAGTTAATAAATAGGGTTGCCATCCTCCAGGTGGGGCCTGGAGACCTCCTGGAATGCCAACTGATCTCCAGACTACAGAGATCAGTTCCCCTGGAGGAAATGCTTACTTTGGAGGGTAGACTCTGTAGCATTGTACCCCGCTGAGGTCCCTCTCCTCGCAAACTCCACCTTCCACAGGCTCCGCCCCCAAAATCTCTCAGTTATTTCCCAGCCTCATTTTGGCCGCCCTAAAATCCTGAAGATTTCCTGGAAGCTGATCGGCAAGCCCCCCCGTTCCCCCGTTACTACCGTGTTACGAATCTTGTACTGGAACAAGTTCGTGGAGTGGATCTCTCCCATCAGCCTGTGCCCCCTGAACAACTGATCCTGAGGATTGGGAATAGAGTGAGTTGTGATACAGGCAGCTGCCTCTTGAAAGGAAATCATTCAGAATCATCCGCCTCCTCCCTCCTCTCTTGCGGAAGCGCTTCTGTGAACCAAGGATGAGCCCATGCAAAGGGCAGGGGATTTCTTCTGATGCCGCTTCTGACCGCAGTCCCCTGTGCAATGTCCACGCCTTGGGATGTCTTTTCAGGGTATTCTGACCGCAGTCCCCTGTGCAATGTCCAGCTCTGTCCCACAGTGCCCCGTGATCCTTGGGATGTCTTTTCAGGGTAGGGGGGACAGGTCACTGCAGGTGGCAGGCAGGGAGACGAGAGCTCCGCTGCAAATTCATTCTGCTTATGGTTGCCTGCAGCCAGCTGATGCATTTCTTGTATCCAAAGCTTTGTCTAGCTAGGCAATAAACCGCTCATACTCATTGTAGTTTGTTTTATGGGAAGGAAACTCAAACTTTATTGTTCTTTTACTATAAATGTTTATGTTTCAGAGCCTGCTTGGCTTTTATTATGTTTTTTAGCTCTGTGTGGTCTTTGGACCTTTCGGTTTCTGTTATTTCTTATCTGAAGTATTTGAGGAAGCATGCATGCACACAAAAGCTCATACCCAGAATTATACTTTGTTGGTCTTAAAAGTGCCACTGGACTGAAATTTAGTTCTGTTATTATGTTAGAACCGATGCTCCCTCTAAGCTGTGGAATCTGTTGAGCAAAAATTCTACTTTGTGAGCTACTGGCATTAAAGTTGTGAGCGAGCGATTTGGCTACGGCATAAATTAGTTTTCTCTGGAGCCAACCTTCCTGAGCTAAGACAAAAATGTGTGAGTTGGAGGCTAAAGAACTGTGAGCTAGTTCACACGAACTCAGCTTAGAGGGAACACTAGGGCTGGAGTGGCCTTCGGCTATTAGCAACGAATAAACCTTAACATTAAATAGAATTATTTTTCTATCCCACTCCTTTCTCCCGTGGAGCTCTAGGCAGCTGACACAGGATTCCTAGGAGGGTTTCCCATCCAGGTAGCGAGGGACCATCTAGGAACCCACTTTGCTTCAGCAGTGTTGCAGCATCATGTGTCTTCAGGCAATACCCTGTTCCTAGATATGGCGGCGGGGGACACTTCCTGTGCGTATTCAGTAACAAGAGAGAAAAATTGCTCAACAACAGTTTTGTGAAAGTACACTCCTCCTTGCTATTGCTTGCTACTACGTTTAATGAATTGATTAAATCTGCAGGTATTTTTATACAGCCCTGACTTCAGTGGCCCAGACTAAGTCCAATCTTGTCCGATCTCGGAAGCTAAGCGGGGTCAGCCCCTGTATAAATCAATGGTGCGACCTCATTTGGAATACTGTGTGCAGTTCTGGTCACCACACCTTAAAAAGGATATTATAGCTTTGGAAAAAGTGCAGAAAAGGGCAATTGGAACACTTTCCCTATGAAGGAAAGGTTAAGGCGCTTAGGGCTCTTTAGCTTGGAGAAACGATGACTGAGGGGAGACATGATTGAGGTTTACAAGATTATGCATGGGAAAGAACAGGTAGAGAAAGAGGTACTTTTCTCCCTTTCTCCCTTTCTCCCTTTCTCACAATACAAGAACTCGTGGGCACTCCATGAAATTGCTGAGCGGTCGGGTTAGAATGGATAAAAGGAGGTACTTCTTCACCCAAAGAGTGATTCACACATGGAATTCACTGCCACAGGAGGTGGTGGCGGCTACAAGCATGGACAGCTTCAAGAGGGAATTAGATAAGCATATGGAGCAGAGGTCCATCAGTGGCTATTAGCCACAAGGTATAGGTAGGAACTCTCAGTCTGGGGCAAGTGATGCTCTGTCTTCTTGGTGCTTGGGGGGGGTCAACAGTGGGAGGGCTTCTAATGTCCTGGCTCCACTGGTGGACCTCCTGATGGCACTGGTATTTCTGGCCACTGTGTGACACAGAGTGTTGGACTGGATGGGCCTTTGGTCGGATCCAACATTGGCGTTTCTTATGTTCTTATGTTAGTACTTGGATGGGGGACCTCCAAGGAAGTCCAGAGGCAGGCAATGGCAAACCACTTCCGATCGTCTCTTGCCTTGAGAAACCTATGGGGTCGCCAGAAGTCGACTGTGACTTGGCAGCGCTTTCCCCCACCTCCATTTTCATACAAGGGGAAACAAACCCAATAATTCAAAAGGGGGGAAATGTGCTGCTTGTTTTTTCAAGATGATGCCTCAGTGTATCACAGCAAACATTGTCTCTGAAGAAGCATTTTGCTTTCTTCTGTGCTTCCTTCTAAGACGACGTTTGCCATCTGTTCTTCTTCTTTTTTTTTTAAATAACCTTAGCAGATTGCTGGGAGGCAGTTTTTAGTCGATCAAAATATTTAAAACAAAAATTTGATTCAGCTAGCCGAGTTTAGTTCCTGAAATGTTGCGGCCTTATTTGTTAGATTTGTAGCCTGTGGGCAGAGAGTGGGGTTACCGCACTCTTTCTGGAAGCAGAATATTTCTGTCCCCGAGATGATCAAATCTAAATAATTAAGCGGGCCAGGGGAGGGGATAAAAATAGGCTGGATGAATAGAGAGAGACGTTTTTGCGGACCCACAAATGAAAAATGATTTAAGGCCCTTGATTCCACTTGCCCCCCCCTAACTGCAAACAGCTGTCAGCAAACAAGATGAATCTTTGGGCAAGGGGGGGGGGGAGACGAATATCTGCTTTATTCTCCCCATTCCGTTTTTCCCCCCCCCCCTCAGCGGGGCATACGTATAAGTTGATTTGTTTGTTTGCCTTTTCACAGGCTAATAAAAAAATGGGGGCGGGGATGGATCACGAGCAGAATTACAATGCACGCAGCACCCCAGAAAGGTCATGTTCCATGATTTATTAGCGCCAGGGGAGGAGGAACAGCAGAAATTATCTGCTGGAAGAATTTCAGGACCCCCCCCCCGTGCTTTTCCCCCCAGCCATGTGCTTTCCTCTCAGATGGAGACAAAAAGAAAGGAGGTGGTAGTGGTTGGTGTTGGCTCAACACATGATGGATCAGCCGTGATGCGGCGGGCACAAGACCAGCGTCTCAGCACTGTGTCATGCCGGGGCGGTTCTCGGGACTTTGATGCTCGCCTCTTTTCCCCTCTGCTTGTTTATTTGTTGAGTAACATGGAGAGGGGAGGATGGAAGCCAGAGGGTGTCAGGGCAGGAGCTATTTGGAGTGGCACCAGAGTGAACAGACTGTTGGCAATCCCTTAATTTAGTACGTCGAGATGTACGCTGTTCCCTGTGCCGATTCTTTGGCCAGCCGTGTGCGTCTGTCCTCGGGAGCCTGTGTCTAAATTCCGTGCGTGGCATTTTGAGCAGGATCCCCATCAATCATCCGTTGGAGCCTCGGAGGACGCTCTCCTTCCCTCCTTTCTGCAGAACAGAAATTCTCAAGGGCCTATTGAAAATGGAATCGTGAACACTCATACGCAGG